CCCGGGGCGACATTAAAATGAATCATGGCAGCCCTCGAATCGAGACTGCCACACTAGTCCAAAGGCCGACTTGTGCCAGCCCCGACAACGGAACCGCTCTAAAAATAAATTACCCAGCCATTCACGACTGTGTGTCCTGTGTGTCATGTGTTGATGTAGTGGGACGCAGCACTCGATAACGTATGCTCCAGAGTAGACAGGGAGATACTCACGAGCGCGACACATGAGCTCTCTGAGTGGTCCACATCGCACCTACAGCATCTGCTTGCGATATTAGGTCCAAATCAAAAGCTCCGCACCAACCTTTCATCTGAGCGACGGATAGCAGCGCCAAAACGATAGAGAGTTGCGGCTTGTGCAATGTCACGGGGCAGAAGATCAAACTGAAAAATATTCTAGGGTGTCAGCAACTTCTGTTCAGGTACGAACGCGCAACGTTTTTAGGACTCAAGTTTGCATAGAATATTTTTAACTCTCGTAGACGACGTGCCTAAAGCAAGGAACTGGTTCCAGCATACAACTTTGTTTCAACACAGAATCCCGCCCCCCGGTTTTACCATCCAAAGATGTCAAGACGTTTGCAAATCATTGTCAGATCCACGAAGTCAGAATCAACACCAGTCCTTTGGACTGTGGGAGTAAGGCATTGGGCTCTACCTAAAAACCTGTTTGAATATTAAATACAGCCCGCTTTTCGATGAAGTCCCTCCACAACGGATCAATTCAGAACGTTTCTGCATTGAATCCGTTGCGAAGACCACATTTACTTCACAATTCCCTCTCCGATAGCGAGCCGGCGAAATTTTTCTTTGTGTCATTCAGGGCCAGATCTATCCATACGTCCTGAAGAGAGCAAGCACAAACGTTGTTGGTACCAGAGTCGTCGAGCTAACCGATACGAAAGACTCTTTTCCAAACGATAGCCACAGAGAATGGGTGTGATTCGATTAATTCTTGGGAAGTGCGATACACAGATGCGCTTTCTACTAAGGCCCTTTTTGATGTACATTATTCTGTTGTGGTGCATAGGAAACAGTCCCAAACAAATACAATGCAAATTCTGAATACGAACAATTTGTACTTTGGGCCCTTTTGAATTGAATTCCCTTAAAGAACTACTATGAACAAGGCATTTATCCCCCTGAAAGCAGGCGCTTCAACCAAGATGTATTCATTCCTTACCGCCGTAAACATATCCATATGGGACGATGAGTCGTGGAGCAGGCCCGAAGAAAAGCTATCCCAGGCGACGTCCCAATGACGTTTTGGACACTTCACCCCACGGAGATGGATGCACACCCGGTCAATGGCCAGATAAGTTCCTATAGCAAGAATGTGAAATACTCTTTGTGTAGGGAGCAACTCTTCAATTCAAAAAAGCGCGAGAGGCAATTGACACAGGCCAAGAACGATCAGAATGAGTGCTCTAGAGATCTTCTCTTCAGCAGTGCGCTTTCGACAACCACGGGGTGACTCATTTCTAGACGGCGAGGAATTACCCAGGTTACTGTAGGTCTCCTTCGGCGTGTTGCCCCAGTCCCCACACTTGAGCATTCGTAGGCACAAAATTTCTGCAGCTTTCGCCTTTTTTGAAGAAGAGAGCTACTTTCCTTGTACCAATTGATTGTGTTTGTTTCAGACTTATCGTCTCCGATATACCACTGTAGAATACTGAACATGGAACAAGGCGTTTTACTAGACGCGTCTGCATATAATATCATTCATCTTTGCTACTCAAAGATAGAATGGTTCGCATGACACACGAACCTGCCTAGCCCCGTTCTCAACGATTAATCGAGACATGTCTTTTAACGGACTTTAGTGTAGCGTCTTTACCGATGTTCCCAAGATGAGGAGTCTATTTCCTCTCACGCGAGCTATTAAAAGGAGTGCAATCCATATCCTTACAAGACCCAACTTTTCTCCCAGGTCTTTCACGATGGACAGCCACTGTCCCCTCATTGAATGCTTAAGCGCGCTGGATTACAAGGGCGATTCCTACTTTCCCTTCCGCGCCTATCGAATTCAGTATCTTCTAGCATGGCAATTAACGACTTCGCAAATACCACTAGTGTCTATATGACATTTGACCTCATATAGGGTCAAATGATCAACTTATGTTTTCTAGACTTGTGCTTTCTCGATAAGAAGGAGAAAGATACCCTCGCAACCGCACTTGACTTCTACGCTGCGAATGGATGTATTTATAGTGAGAACTGCATGTCCTTTCCTGTTGTTTTAGAAATGCCTAACATAGAAGCTCTTTTGAGCACCCTCGAAATGTTTTGACAACTTCGAAACCAAAATGCCTGTTTAAAAAAGAGACTAGTAACTTAAACTCTATCATATTCTTAGGCTCTCAGAGTATTTAAAACGGACATTCCGATTTTCTGCAAGATGTTATGGCCGAGTGTAAGTATGTTAAAGAAATTGTATCCAAAAGACTTTCTAAAATTTCGATTTAATGTAGATATTTTTGCAAAAAAGCCGGCCTCACGAGGCACACGCTTGTCATCTAGAGACATTGGCTCCATACAGTAGCAAGAACTACTACTGTAACCTCGTTTTTGTTTAAGATGTCACTAAGATGGCTTTACAACCATGAGCAAGCTGCCTTCGTGATCAGCAGCTACCGCGAGTTTTGGTTTTGCTTTAACAAATCATCAACAATGAAACTGCTGCAGTACTGTTTTCGCACACGATAGAGTACATGAAACCTCGTTTCTTCGCTTTTCGAAGAAAATTAAAAAATACAATGGCGCAGGGTAATAATGGCAGCAGCAAGCAACGATGTCCATCGGAGGCAACGTGATCGCTCCCATAAAACCATTGTTCCGTGCACTATAGAGATTGCTTTTCAATAAGCATGCCTCCTCCCGTATTGCTGGATCAGGGAGGACAACAATGCGAATTACCCTTTCGTCATCTTCAATTTGTTTCCATGTTTATAGCCGACATCGCCCACAAGCCGGCATAGTGGAACATGTTCCAGCGTAAGAGTACATATCTATTGAACACTGTAAAAGTGCAGTGTTTCTCATAGTGAAAAAAAGGAACCATGGAAATTGTCGAGTCTCTATGAATCTAGATTTCTTCGAACTAAAGAGCCATATTGCTGTGGCAACACGCACCGCTTTGTTTGGCTCCATTGTTGTGAAGATACTAGAGGCGAACTCGTTGGAAAACATGTTCTGCCATACAGAACAAAATGCGCGTACTAAATGTTCAACCGTGCAGCACGATCAAAAACTCTTCAATGCCTACTGCGAAAGGTGTTGGCAAAATACTACTGTACTGTATACGTTCTCCCCCACAGGTCTGTCAGTCTGCCCCTGTTTGCGTTCCCGGACCAAAAGAAAGTTGTCAGAAGACCGGGCAGGTCATTAACTCAAGAAGTTACATTCACGGTAAGCGAAGTGGCATGCTATCTTTCACATGCGCACTGACAGGGGCGCTTTGTTGATGTCGAAGGTGAGCAATGCACGAACCTTTTCAGATGACTTCATATCTTATTACTTGACATAAATACAGGTCATTAAAGAGCAGTAGTGTCATATTATTGCCCTCGGCAAGCTTGAAGATGGTGGGGGTTTCGTCACGCTCATCTTTCGTCGCAACAAACCTTTTCTGAAAGATTGTTGATGTCCATGCTCGTTATTGTTGGCGTTGATTTCTTTAGTTTTGTGTTGTTTAAATTAGAGATGATGACCGCTTCAAAAGCTCCAGTCACGGATTTCGAGAGAAAGATAAATAAAAGTATCTGCAAACCGAGCCTTTCAGGCATAAGAATAATATGCATACAAGATTTAACTGCATCGCTCTGCATGTTATGCAACGGTAATCCAGAGTCATCTGCGGATTATCTTTACTCCTGCAAAAGATACTAGAGATGACATTAAATGCATCGTTGTCACGAGAATCAGCGCGGTTTTCGGCCAGCAACAACTATTGAGCGGGGGAGGTCCCGAATAAGAGTGATGTCTACGAATGAAGGCAATGAGAAGCGGATAGATTTTCCCTTGAGGTGTCTGTGATTGCTTTGCTTGAGTTCGTACTTGCTTATGCGATTGAAGAGAGTACTGTACATGTTTGTGATGTTTGTTGAGAAACAACGCTGGTAGTACACGGCACTTTCACAGCAGCACTGCTTTGAAAGCAGGAGCCAAGTGGAATTTGAACGACTCTACAGTAAAGCGGTACAGTGTACAGTACGACCACCTCAACTTTCAAGGCGCTGTTGAGCATTGCACGTGTCATCGCTGGGCGTGGCAAGACTGACAGTAGCAGCGTGGGCACAGTGATGTCACACAGTGCTCTCCGTCGATGTCGCCTTAGGCGCGCTGCGGCTACTACGGCCGACATCCAGGTTAAGGTCCTGCGCTCCGATGGGGAAGACCAATCAGGAAGACCAACGAAGGGTAGGACTAGGTAATATCAAATCTCTGAAACTATTCTTAGGGAAATAGAACTGTATGCTGATATCATTCTGAAATTGTCAGACTGTAAGAATTTAGAAGGAATTTATTGGACCAATCTGACACGAATCCTTTAAACCCTTCAAGGGGTTTTCCAAGTCATGAAAATAAAGGTTTCTGTTACCCGCCATCCTTCCTCCCCCCTTATTCTAACTCCGCACCTGCAATTTTGCACGCGGGTCGATCGTACAAGAGAATCCTAGTCGGAAAGGTGAAGGTATCATTGTGTCCCTGAGGGCTCAAGATTTCAGCACTGGAGACAGAGCCGACGGAAAAAAAGCGCGGCACATCTCTTTTCTAGTTTTTGGTCTTCCAACTTTTACGCAGAGCATCGTCCGAACAACGTTTTATTGCAACAGTTGTGGAAAACCTTCACTTTTGGAATCGCCACAAATCACACCAGTATACGCAGCTACGTAAATAGGAGCACGTGTTTCTTTCAAGAACCGAAAGTGCGCAACGAATTCTGGCCCAATTGCGTCTATGTCAACCGACGTCATAGAAATCGAGTCTTCGGGTGGGGAGATGAACGCCCTGGCTCCCAGCAAGCCCGAGGGTGGTGATACGGTCCCCCCCACCGCGCCGCAGTACTCCGAAGACCTGATGGTCCAGTTTGGGCTAGGGGACGTCCTGGATGGTTTGCGCTCGCGAAAAATGCGCTCGTCGTTTTCGCACTACATTACGGAGATTCAAAAGGAGAATGTCCCGCTCAAGCCGCGCTGTCCCGCCGGATCGCTCGCGGAAATCGCGTTGCAACCCATCAACGAGGACGAGCGAAGGCTCGAGCTGTTCGATGACCGAGTACTGCGAAATGCCCTGACGTTGAAGGAAAGCGCGGAGAAGCCGCCGTTGCCGGATTGGTTGGACGTGGAACAGCCGTGGGGAGACGATGACCGCAAGAAAAGACGAAAGGATAGAAGGAAGAAGCGGAAGAAGAAGAAGAGAAAGAGAGGTCATGACGACGGTGGCGACGGGGAGGACAATGGGAGGGACGATGACGAGAGGCGTGCGAAGAAGAAGAGAAAATGAAAAAGTTGAACAGTTTTGCTTGCATGTAAATACATTTCTATTTTGTATGGGACGGGGTAAAGTTTGCGGGAGAAAAGTGCTTTTGTCACAAGGTCGATCGAAGGTTGCCTTGTTTCCCTTGTTGTAAAACCAGCTGAACGTGTCATGTCCCAGCTGATATGTCGTTGCATTTGTCATTTAATTACATGCGATTACGTTGCAGCCACTTTGGCATTGTGAAGCGCTTCCTCCTGTTGAGGTACGCCGGATTCGGGTTGTCGGCTTCTGCACCAAGGGCAGTCGTAGCCTGTATCCATGCAGTCATTTTTGAAGTCGGTTCGTTCGGTTAGTTGCTCTTCGTCGTCAAAAGCGAAAAGACCCCATGAAAGAAGCAAGTAGACCGCGTGACTTACCGATCCAAATGCTTGCAGCAAAAGCAGTGCTAGAATAGGGGAGAGATCAAGCCCGAAGATTGGGGGGACGGTCTGGCGGAAAAGGTTGAGATACGGGTCGCACACGGTGATCAACGGCCGTACAATAGGGTTAGACTGGACGCCTGGGAACCATGACAAAAGAATTCTCGCAACTAGAATTGAAAAACGAGGCAAGTGAGAACGCGGAGCGCATGTTAGTACTGGGAATAGAACAAGAGCTGCATAAAAAACCCTACGCAGCCTGTTCAGGCAGAGAAAGCAGCGGCATACCGATGACGTTTTGATATATGTTGAAGAAAGTAACCGTCCCGCCGATGGTCGTGCTCTCCAAAACGCTGTCTCCAGGGATGATGACTGCGAGGGCGTCGCGACGCCGCAGTGGACGCGTTCTGTTGCGGACGAGAAAGGGAATGGGGACCGCAGCGACGGCAGAGCTCATTCGCAGTGAACGCCTTCTCAAGAAAACGGTTGGCATCTTTGTGTTCCCGGAAGTTGGCGTGGATGAGGAGAGGATTAATTGAGAGAAAGAGTGAGCAAATGATACGGTTCTGGGCAAAAAGCAATGCCCCCAGTTTGGTCAAGTCGTGGAGCTCTCAACTAAATCTCGAGAAGGTGCTCCTCATCACCCCCATTCGCCATCCGGTCGTTTAGAGCTATTTATTCGAAATATTATGCTGAATCCTGGATTATCCGGAATTGGGAGGTACGCTATACAATTGGAGCACCTCCCCATGTTTGCTCTCCATCCGACATTCGACGTACGGTAGTCTAATGCCATCGCCTTGAGATGGATTCTAACTTTTGACCAGTGTTGAGCCCTCCCGGCAGGTTCTTCCTTCCACCCCGACAGGCAGACAACATGAAGACAGCTTTTCATGTTTCAAAGAGGGGGCATAAAGTCGCTTCCCAGCTCTGAGTCTGGAGAAATAGCTCCGTCTCTGTCGATGTACTTGCGATTTGTTCTTTCCCGCTGAACAACGTCATAAATAATTGCACACGAAGAAGACAGCAGTTCACTTTCGTCATGGGGACGTCGTCTGATTTCTCAAATTCAGAGTGTTGCTCACGAAAATCGTACAACTTTTCAGGTACAGTTACTTGCGTGACGGAGCAACAGAGAATGCGTCGCACACACAGTACCTCATCTCCGGAAAGTCCTTCTCTATGTCTCGTTCAAAATAGCGCATTGGTATCAAGGCATGTTCAGTCCATTCAAGGCATTTCAAGAAGAGGACGCGAACGTGCTGCAGACCAGTATGCCTGGAAGTCCCACGAAAGAATGTACTGCACTGTACCTCGCATCTTCATTGAATTCAATTCGAAGAGGGTGATATGGTTCCTATGCCCGCCCAAATGGCTAACATCATAATGACCTCACTGGTTATTTTTTTCATTGCAGCAGAGATACCGGGCTTCATGGCGTTTGAACCTTGGCGAAAGCGAAACGTCGAAACAGAGGCGGCGTTGACCTCTGCCATCCCCAATTACCATCGTCGCATTTGTTTACGTGAACAGCTATAAAAGATCAGAGCTCACAGGGGTCCCCTATTACCAATACATACCGCTCCCTTCCATCGGTCCAAGTTCGCTCAAACGGTTCGCTCAAGCTATGCAGCGTAAGTTGATCAATCACGAACCCTCTACAGCCTCCTCACTCTTCCCCTCGTCCTCACTTGCCCCAACGCCACCCCTAAAAACCGACGAAACGCCCATCCCGACCAACAGCGTCCCCGCAACCAACGCCCCAACCTTCCCCAGCGCGCAAAGCACGGTCATGATACTTGCGGCCATAACCACGCCTGCCGCCAGCGCGGCAAACGACTGCCCGAACGGCATGCCGAGCACGAAAGCGACGAGCGACCCCGTCCACGCGCCAGTCCCCGGGAGCGGGACGCCGACGAACAGCGCGAGCGCGACGGCGCGGGAGTTTGCATTCCCCACGGCGGCGGCCTTCTTCCGCGCCCTGTCCAGGACGCGCGCGGCCAGCGCCTGCACGAAGCGCACGCGCAGGATGAGCATGAGTGGGAGGATGGGGGCCAGGTTGCCCAACACGGCCAGCAGCAGGGTCTTGAGCGGGTGCATGTTGAGCACAAAGCCGACCGGGATGCCCGCGCGCAGCTCGACGGCGGGCAGCGCAGATACTAGGAAGACGACCAGCTCGTCCGGCAGCCCACGCGAGCGGAGCTTGTCGGAGATGCGCTGGCTCAGGGGCTTCTTCTCGGGAGGCGAGGCTTCGTCTTTGAGGTGGTCGTATGTGCGGTGGAGGGGCTTCAAATCGCTCACAGGGCGGTCTGTCAGGTCGGAGGGGGTGGTGAGGACGCCGCTGGGGCCCGCAGCGCTGACGTGGAGGGTGTCGCTGGGGGGGCTGAAGGGGTGGTGTAGCAAGGCGGCGATGGGGGCCGGCGGGCTGATCATGGCTGCGTGAGCGGGGGAGTCGGCGGCGGAGAAGTGGACGGAGAAGGCGAGGCCGACGGCTAGGCCGAGGGTTGAAAGGGGGGAGCACCGATGCATTGTGACACGTTGAGGGGGATTGCGGGGGGGAAGGGGCGCACGGAGAGCGGGCTTGCGGCGGAGGAAGGGGGTGGTGGTGGTGGGGATGTGTATGGCAAACGCCATGCGAGGGAGAGGGAAAGGAAGGGGAGGAAGGGGAGGAAGGGGATCGGGTCTTTGGTCGGGAGCGCAGACTTTGGGGTGCTGCGCGGGATGATTGCAGGGGAGGTAGGTGATTGAGAGGTGGGGGCCGTTTCCCGCAAGCGATGGCAGACGTGGACTTGCGCATTGCGGGGCGTAATTGGATGTCGCATTTCTTCATATCAGTGGTGAATGGCTGTTTCTAAACAACAGCAGCAGAGGCAGTCTGATGGGAGCGGAAGCGAGCGGAAATCGGGCGCTGGGGACGTCCTGTCCACCTTCACGTAAATTGATCCACCGCAATCCCTCGCGCACTCTCTAACCATGTCGTCATGCGATGTTGACTACAGCATTCCCTGCCCTACATTTCCACTTCTTCGGCATGGAAAGCCATAAACCACTGGGGCTCTTAAGACTCAAAATATACAGTCACCTGATCTTCAAGCGAATGAGGAAGTAGAAGTATCACGCGTCTTACACCACCGTCAGAAGATATATGTCGGGTATGATGCTCATAGAGCATCTCTACCTGCCTTTCTATTTACTATTGAAGGTCGAAGTTCCTAACCCCCCCTATCATTCAACATACTTTGAAACGAAACATGGACAACTTGGAATCCAAGTTGTCCATGTTTCGTCGTGTCGCAAAGCTATAGAGTATCCAAGTCTTGGATACTCTATAGCTTTGCCACACTTTTCTGGATCATGTATGTTTATGATTGTGCCCCGACACTCTGTGATCTGCATGCAGCTTCGTATTTGTAGACAGCTGGCAACACGAATGGAGTGCTCCTCATCAACCATCGACACTTTCGCCGCAATGATCTCAGAATGCTACACGCGAGGGAGGAATGCAGCAAGCGAGCGGTAGCCCCGGAGTGCCAACTAGAAGCACGAGAACACTAGTGAAACAATCAGGGCTGCTACTGCTACGAGATTATGTAGCTCCGAAGGGAAGTCTGATCTGTCCACAACGAAATGACAACTTTTCCAACTTCATCTCACAACCTGCCGTTGTAGAAGGACTTAAGGGACAACTTTGTCTCTTCAGAAATGCCAACACCGCCATGGACAGTGATGCTGCAAGCAGCACAGGCTCAGAGGACTATGCGAAATAGAAGGGACAAAGCCAAATACATTGGCATCCTAAACGCTCCCTAAACACGAAGCTTAGATGGATAAATACCAGAACTATTTATTCCTGCACAGGACGACATCCTATGCTCCACCGCAAGCCACCATCCCTTTACGCGCGTTCCTCTTCCACCACCTCCCCGTGTCATACATGGAAAATCAGCACACAGTCGCTACAAATGCAGGTCCCCTACCGCTCTCAACATAAGCGGATGGGCCGCATACGTCGCCAGCACAAATGCGACAACCCCTACATACGCTGGTCTAAAGAACTCTCCCCAGGCGAGGTTCTGCTTCCCCGAGACGACAGCGGCGAACGGGACGATGCTCGTCCTCTGCGCGAATGCAATCCACTCCTCCCCGAAGCGGTCTCTGAGTCTTCTATCGCCATTCCACGCGCCGAACGAGTGGTGCGCGACCAGGCAAAGGCTCGCGACGAGCGTGAAGCTAGTCCCCATCCAGGCCGTGTGCGCGACGCACCACAGAATCTGCCCCCACAGCTGCGGGTGCCTGGTGATCCTCGTGACGCCCGTTTCGTATATGCGCAGGGTCGGCTTCTGCACGGCGGCGACTTCGAGCAGGTTGAACGTGGCGGGGTACAGCAGCAGGAACGAGACGAAGGTCGCTATGTACACGGCGTCGTGCAATCCCGGGAGGTTCTGCACGCGCCACAGCTGGGCGCCGTCGTAGCGGTGCGCGATGAAGTAGGCGATGAGCGCCGTCGCCGACGGGAGCGAGACCAGCGCAAAGCCGACGCGGTACAGACGCTCGCCTAGCACTGGCGTGAGGGAAGGGCGGAGCGAGGCCAGGCCGGAGTGCAGCAGGGCGAAGAGAGCGGTAAAGAGGATGATCAGCAGGTGCGAGGGGTAATGCGAGAGCAGGTGCGGCAGGAAGTCGGCAGGGGCGTCGCGCAGCGTCAGGAGCGGCGGGACGGCGAGCGCGGATAGGGAAAGGAAGGCGGCAGAGGAGAGGGCCAGGCGGGAGGGCGGCGGCAGCGGCGGCTGCGAAGGGGGGGTCGCGGGGGTGGGCGGGGGAGGGGTGGCGGGGTCGGACGAGGGAGCAGGCGTTTGCGCGGAGAGAGAGGGGACGCGGCGGCGGCGGCGGCGGCGGCAGAGGCGGGGCGGGCGCGTGGTGGTGAGGGTCTGGATGGAGATGGCGCGGGGCAACGCGGGGGAAAGCACGGAGAAGGCCGGGATGGGGATTGCCATTTATGGTTGGTGAGCGGTGGAAGGCCGAGCAACGAGCACCGCGGTTGTCGATGGTCGCGAGCACTCGCTCGGGGTCGTGCGGAGGCGGAAGCCACGGCTCGTATGGATTCACAATCTCGGCGCTTAGCGGAGCTCCACTGCCTCACCCCGTGTCCACGTCCCCACGTGTGCCGTCCCCGCTCCACCGATGCACATATCCTCAGCAACCTCTGTGTGGGCGCCCGCCGCTCTGTTCGCCTCCTGCAACCTTGTGGTCCGTACTACTTGGCAGGC